GTCTAATAAAGAGCCAATAGTGAGGCAGGAGAAAGGACAGGTGGGGCTGGTAGGCAGAGTATAAATAGGAGGAGAAATCTGGAAAGAAGAGACCAAGAAGCAAGATAAGGAGAGGAGGATGTCAGTGGCCAGCCACCCAGCTACACAGCAAGCCATGGAATAAGAAGTAAAGAAAGGTATAGAGAATAGAGAAAGATAAAAATCCAGAAGCAAAAGGTAGATGGACAATTAGTTAAGAAAAGCAGGCTACAAATAAGCCAAGCTGAGGTCGGGCATTTATAAGGAAGAATAAGCCTCCGTGTGATTTATTGGGAGCTGGGTGGCAGCCCCCTAGGAGCAAAGAGTAAAACACTAAACTGCACTCATGTGTGCGTGTACATGCTCCTAGGGGTCAAACAGTCGCACCACTGACCTCATCTCGTCCTTGGATAATCCTGCTTCATCATGTCCCCTCTGTGAGACCTCACTCAGCTCCCAAGCATGCTTCCACCGTCTAGTTCTCCTATGACATATTTCTCTCTCTTTCTGAAAATGTCTTAAGTAGCCCAAGTTGGCCCTGAACTTGGTATGTAAGTAAGGATAACCTTGAACTTCTGATCATCCTGCCTCCACCCCCCCCCCCACAGACATGTGCCACCACGTCCAGCTTATGCAATGCTAGGGATGGGCAGGTGCTCTACACCTGAGCTACACCCTAGTCGTCCCTTCCTTTTATAGCGAACATTTTCAAGCACGCATTCAAACTCAACCAGACTAGTTGCTTTCATTGTTAACCAGAGACTACTGGTTGCCTTCAGCATCCATCCTCTGCTCTTTCTAGATAACAGAACTATTAATTTTTACCCTGATATATAGCAACTTGGAATGTAGGTTACGTATCCTTCCTTCCAGTTAAGTGTGCTCATGTGAATAAACTCTGGCCATAGATATAAGGGATATAAGGGAAGCCTCCCACCAAGAAAGTGCATTTCAAGACAGGATGGTTGATCTTAGCTCTTCCTCCTGTTGGCTACTTGGATGTGGAAGATTCCTTGTCATGATGGCAAGCAGCAAGACAGTGGGGACTGATGTCCCTAATCCATTTCCAATGAGACACTTGCATCCACATGGCTTAATTCTCAGGACTGAGACCTAAGTCTTCTTGTGCCAACGTGACTCGCCATTTTTATTGTGGGAATTCTTGTTGCTTAATAATGATGAGAGTCAGTGTTGGCCTCACAAGATTCATGTAGAATTTATTCTAGCATGAGATTCTTATTTTGGCAAAAATGGTGTGCTATGGGATGGTCTTTCTGTATGCTGTGAATATGCGTTGCTATGATTGGTTAATAAAGAAGCTGCTCTGACCTATAGCAAGTCAGGTTATAGCCAGGCAGGAAATCCAAGAGAGAGACAGGAAGAAAAATGACAGAAGCAAGAAGAGACACCAGCTTACCACCCAAGGAGCAACATGCCAGTAGACTGGTAACCCCACAGCCATGTGGCAAAACATAGATTAATAGAAATGGGTTAATTTAAGGTGATAGAGTTAGCTAGCAAGAAACTTAAGCCACTGGCCATACAGTTTATGAAACCTTAGACTCACAAATGTAGGATAGATAGGACATCTTTAATTTTGCCAAATACAAATAGACTAGATATTATAACTATAATTCTTGCTTGATAATTGTTTTGTTATATGTAATTTTACTATGTTAAAGTTAAAACCTTCCTTTAAAAAGGGGGGGAGGGGAAGTGCTGTGGATATCTCTCTGTATAAATAAAATGCTGATTGGCCAGTAGCCAGGTAGGAAGTATAGGTGGGACAAGCAGAGAAGAGAATTGTGGGAACAGTAAGGCAGAGGAGGAGATGCCAGCCTGCTGTCCACGGAGCAGCATGTAAAGGCAACAGGTAAAGCCATGGAACACGTGGCGACATAGGGAGTAACAGAAATGGGCTGAGTTTAAGTGTAAGAGCTAGGCAGTGGTAGGCCTGAGCTAATGGCCAAGCAGTTTAATTAATATAAGTCTCTGTGTGTTTACTTGGGTCTGAGTGGCTGCGGGACTGGCCAGTGAGGCAGGCTGGGACACAGGAAAACTTCAGCTACAATGGGTTAATTTAAGATGATACGGCTAGCTAGCAAGAAGCTTAAGCCACCGGCCACACAGTTGGTAATTAATATAAGCCTCTGAGTGATATTTTATAAGGGGCTGTGGGACCACGGGGCTGGGTGGTACTGGAGAAACCTCCGGCTACAATGGTGGGCTGTCCCCCACCCCCACTCCCAGGACATCCGACTGCTCTCCTGGGCAAGCAGTTCACTCACTAAACAACTGTTTTCACTGTCATTCAGCCAGACTCAGGACCTGATTGTGTCCATGGCTTAACCACTGTATCACAAACTCAGCCCAGGCCTATCAGACCCCAGCCATGAGATGCCTTAGTGAGTGGAGAGCCTCAAACCTAGAAACCTCCCTCCCAGCCAGGCACCTGGATGGTGTGGCTGGCTGCAGGTGCTCAGGAGGGTTAACTGCCTTTGCTTTGGTTCATCTGCAGGTTACTCAGCGGTGATCTGAGGTGTGGACGGTTGACTGGTCACAGAGTTAGATGCCCTGCCAGCTCTGGGCCTCATTCACACAAGCTGAGACATCAGTGTCTCTGATCACAACACTTCTGCTGTTGGCTTTTGGTCACAGCAGGCTTCCCTCCTCACCTTTGTCCCGCTCACAGTGGACAGGGAGGGAGAACTCTGCGCTCACATGCAGAAAATCACAAGCCCCAGAGCCATTCTTCGGGTCCTGGTAGATTTTTGGCACCTGATCAATAATGTGGATTTCAAAACACTCAAATGGGCTGGGTGTGTCAGGTAAACGGCAAACTATCTGCTTGGTGTATGTGAAACTTAGATTAAACATCAGTGCCACAAAACAAACAAACAAAAACAGAGCCACACCCTCTCTCAAATATACCATGTTACAATCTGAACAAACGTTTGCATTGTAAATTGTTACTTTAGTAGGGTCTGGTGAGACGGCTCAGCAGAGTTTTTGTTGTTGTTTGGTGTTTCGTTTTGTTTTGAGACAGGGTCTCACTATGTAGCCTTGGCTGGCCTGGGTCTTGCTATGTAGACCAGGCTAGCCTCTAATTCACAGAGACCCACTTGCTTCTGCCTGATAATGGGATTTAAAACATGCACCACCATGCCTGTTGAGGACCAATCTTTTTTTTTTTTTTTTTTCCAGACAAGGTTTCTCTGTGTAGCTTTGCACCTTTCCTGGAACTCGCTCTGTAGACCAGTCTGGCCTTGAACTCACAGAGATTTGCCTCTGGGATTAAAGGCGTGCACCACCACCGCCCAGCAAGGACCAATCTTATTTTAGTCATGTTCTTATCCTTCCCTTTCTTCCTCTGGATTATTTTGTACATACTCCTAGGTATTATATCATTTCAGATCAAAATATTACAGCGTGTACCCCTGAAGGCATCTTTCTCTCTTATTTTTTTTAATTAATTAATTTTTTTTTCCATTTCTTTTTATGTACATGGATGTTTTTGCCTGTGTTACGCTTGTGCACCACAGGCATGCAGTACCGGAGGAGGGCAGAAGGGGCATCAGATCTCTTGGGACTGGAGTTACAGCCGATTATGAGCAGCCATATAGGTACTGGGAATCAAATCCATGTCCTCAGGAAGAGCAGTCAGTGCAGTTAAGAGCATAATTGTCTGGCTAAGTGAGTTTTCCAATTCCTCTTAATCTGTCAATTAGATTCCCTTCCTTTTTCTTTAGAAACTATTCGATAAAGAATGTTTGTTTTGTAGCTCTAAGGTCTGCACTTTTCAGACTGGTCCGCACTGTGTTATTTAGCACCACCCTCTAGTCTCTATTTCCTGTAAATCTGTGGTTGCATCTGTAGGTTAGTCAGAACACGGTGGGCTCTGGACAAAGTCATCTCCATAGGCGCCGCATTCGCTCCTACCAAGGGGCTCATCTTACCGATCTGTCTCTTGCAGAAGGACCTTTTAAAGGTGAATGTGATCTCTACACGAGGACGCGTCACCGTCCAGTCTGAGGAACGTGGGTAGCAAAGCTGGAAAATGATGGTTTGAGCTGGAAATAGTGTGATCGAGCAATGAATGATAGGCTTGTGTGGTGGGTAAACAGTCCTTGAAGGAAACTCCCGAACTCTTCTGGGCAAAGAACACCGCCCGGGGTGACTAATGTGAACGGAACAACAGTGACATTGATGGAGAAATTGTGTGTTGCTTCTAAAACCAGCTTTGTAGTGTGGGTGGACGCGCCAGGCGTCTGCTTATAGTCACAGGTCCCTCTTCTGGACCCCTAAATGTCCCTGTGTGTCGCTCTTAAGTTTTAAAGTGGGAGATGCTGAAAAGCAGGCACACCTAGCACCCCACCGAGGCCCCTCGCCTTGGCTCCATCCCGCAGCCCGGCACTTCCCAGCCATCTGGAGGTGCTGACAAGGGTGCTTGGGTTCCACCCAGCTCCTCCCCGCCCGGTTTGCTCCATCTCCATTACTAGGCCAGAGTGCGTTCAGAGCACGAAAGGGGTGAAGGATGCTTTCAGAGCCGTCAAGAGAAAAAAGGAGGCACTTGGGGAAGCTCCAGACGGCGCAGGCGCAAAGTATCCAAGCTGGAGGGCCGGCTTAGGGGACGACGCTCAGAGGTCCCAGTTCCGGCTCCGCGGAAGGACCCCAGCCGGAGTTCGCATTCGAATTTTCCATGTGGTCCGTGGCAGACAATTGCGAAGTCCCGCCCACCGCTATCGCCCCTCCCCTCCCCATGACGCAAAGAGGAGGAGCCTCTGAGTCTCGCTTCGCGTCCGGGCAGACTACGGCCTGAGCTCCTCCTACGCACGCGCAGATCGCGAACTCGCGCCGGCGCAGTTCGGCCCCAGCCGGGCGGTCGCCCCTCCCCCTCCCTAGCAACCGCCTCCCGCTCCCTCCTCCGCCCCTCGGCCTGGTGTGCGCACGCGCACCCCTCCCGGGGCTCGCCCCTCCCTCCCCGTCACCCGTAACAACCACTCGAGCCCTCGCCGCGCCCCTCGGCGCTCCCGCCCCGTCCCCCGTCCCCGGAACCGGCGGTCGAGCGGCGGCAGCCGAGCCTGTGGCAAGGCTCTCTCCCCGCGGAGCCGCCGGCATGAACGCATCCCGCCTCCCCGCGTCCCCGACCCGGTCCTTTTGACAAGAGGTAAGCGCGCGTCGTCGTGGAGGACTAGGAGCGTGCCCGGGTCCCCGCCCCCGGCAGGGTCCCTCTGCCGCGGCGGCCGCGGGCGCTAGCCCTCTCCGGGACGGCAGAGCCGCCCGGGTCCCTCAGCCGCCGCCGCCCCCATCCGGCCCGCCCCCTCCGTCCAGCCCCGGCCTGCAAGGAGGCGCTCCCCCGGGGCCGACCCTGGGCTGATTTTCAAACACCAATTATCATGCAATAGAGGCAGCCCCGGCCTCTGGTGCCATTTGGCGGTGGTCACTCCGGATGCCCGCGCAGGGAGTGGATCGGGATCAGGCCCCCAAAGCCGAGAACCGGCCCGAGTTCAGGGAGCTGGCGAGCAAGCTGGTCCTTCCGTGTAGTCACTTTGGGGTAAGAGTTTCTTAATCCAGGCATCACGTAGTGCTTGCATCCTCTCCTATCCGTCAGCACCTGGTAATCATTCTCCTTTTATTTGGGAGATACCTGAAAACTCATTTTCTCAATTAAAAAAAAAAAACGTAAACGATTATTGGATTCCCCACCGAGCACCAGCATTGTAAGGTTTACGAGAGTGAATGGAACGCGGTCTCCGCGCTCCAGGACGCGTCAGCGCTGGGATCAAGATTAATGAAGGCTTGAGTTTGGAGGAGAACTGAGGAGTTTGGTTCACGGCCTCATGGTTTGAAAGCTGGGAGTGTAAGATCATCTCACAGAGATGGAATCAGGAACGGCGAATGGCATGCTTGAGGTCACCCAGAGTTATTAGCCTTTATAGTTTTTCAACTGGTGGAGGGTGGTTTTTCAGCATAGCCTGCTCCTTCTGAGTGCTACACCACGCCAACATAGCAGAGAAAGTTGCAGAGCTGTTTAAAGCATGTAAACAGAGTGGAAGTGCAGCGATATAGATTGCAATTCTCTGAAATATATCGGTATAGATTTGTTGTTTGTTTGTTTGGTTTGGTTTTTTTTTTTCGAGACAGGGTTTCTCTGTAGTTTTGGTGCCTGCCCTGGATCTCTCTGTAGACCAGGCTGGCCTCAAACTCACAGAGATCGCCAGCCTCTGCCAGTGCTGGGATTAAAGGTGTGTGCCCCCACCGCCCGGCTCGTTGTTTGTTTTTTAACAGCTGGAATTTGTGGTGGTTAGATACTTGATACCTGAACTTTTGAATGTCTTTTCACCATATTGAGATGTTATAACATCCTTCCTGTTTGGACCTCAGCAGGACTGGTGGGCTCACTGGGTTCTTTTTTTCTTTTCTTTTTCTCCCTCTCTTTTAAGTAGGTGAGCAAAACGTTCCAGATGACTCTGAACACAAGGGTGTTTGCAGAGAAAGCCAGCCTTGCCGGCACTAGAGTGATTATGTATGCAAAGGAGGGTTCCTTGACCTCAGGCTTAAGCATGTAGTTGATTACTTTGCAGGATCACAGCTCCAGGAGGCTGGAGGTTCTTGGAGCCCCTTTAGTAGAAGCTGGGCAGCTTCCCTGCCATTGGTAAACAGTCTCTGAAATTGGAGCATGCAGTTAGAAAACAGGAAGCAACAAAGTTCCCTTTGAAGCCAGCTCTTGAGTATTCCATAATTTGAGAAACAGTAGTCCCATCCAGTGTCCGGTCCCCCATCTCCATGTCATCCCCAGAGCTTATGTCTTAACGTGTTACTATTTTTGTTTGGCTCCTGGTGGAAGTTGTTCAAGAGAAAATAGTTAGAGTAATTGAATCCTAGGATTTCATTGCTGTGGAGGATTAGAACTCCTGACCCAGGGATGCTGATGTAGGGGTAGAGGGCCCCCTTCAGACCAGCGTGGCTCCATCCATGTGGGCCTCCTTTGCGGTTTCTTAATGCCTCGTTACTTCACCCATCAGAGTATTTTGGCATGTCATCTTCCTTTTTTGTGTGTGTGCTTGGGATTATGACCTGTGGGTGGTCTCTTTAGGATGGGGCATGGTCCGTGAATTCGAACTCACTTTTTTCTGTAATGTGGTTATTTATTATACATATTTTTGTTTTTCAGGAGGAAGAAGATTGCTATTAAATTACAACCATGGTGCAAAAATACCAGTCCCCGGTGAGGGTGTATAAACACCCTTTTGAGTTAATTATGGCTGTAAGTACTTCACATTTCAGTTTACTCTGCCTTCTTTTTGAGATTAAACTCGGATGATCTGCAAACAATGCTCACTGTTATCATTGCTTCTCTTGCTCTGCTGTTCTTGTGATTGGGACTTGTGTCCAGAATCTTTGAGCCTCTGAAACTGCACATCTGTGCGTTTGTGCTTTTGCAATGTTTCTGGGGTGATGTGCGCTTGCATCATTCTCTGCTGGAGAACACAGAAGTGGGGTCCTGACCCAGCACTTCCTGTGGACTTTTCTGGTTGTCTTTGTTCAAGTAGCTGCGCACAGGGAGTGCGCTTTCTCCCTTGTGATGCTTGTTTGGGTGAGAACTTGGTCCTGAGGAAAGTCACCTCCATTGGTCTCAGAGCTGAGTACTGTACATTGGAGTCTTCCCTACGCGTTAATGAGCAGCACTGTTCAGTAAGTTTTTCCACCAAATAGTAAATCCCTGATTCAAACCCAGGGTCCACAAATGGGGCGGTTAAAGTGTTTACTTTGTTATCTGTCAGAACTGGGCTGACAAGCGTTTTACTGGAGTAAAAAGAAGCCGAGCACCATTTTCGATCCCTTGTAAATGGCCGCAGAGCGGTCCTTGTCATTTCTTTTGCGGCACTGGTAAGGTGTGAGGCCCATATGGAGATGCATGCCACACTCAGGAGAGCGCATCTGTCATGAGAATTACGCAATCCGAGATGCACCTGTGGCACTGGCACAAAGCTTGGAACACGCGCCGCAGCCCAGCAGGGAGATGAGCGCTGCTGCATTTGGGGCCCTTCCTGTCCGAAGGAGTACCCAGGCTGGCCTGGGACTGGAGATCTTCCTGCCTGGGGCTCCCAAGTGCTGGGGACTACAGCTGTGCACTGATAACCCTGCTGCTGCCCTCCCTCCTACCCCCTGGTGACTCTTACCTGTTTCTGCTCCTTATGTGGAAAAGCTCCAGGGTTCCTGTCCTTGGAACATCTACTCGGCATATGCTTTGATATTAGTTAGGTCTATGGTCTTGAAAAGCAAAATATAAACTCAAATCTCAAGGGAACATGTCTTGCTTCTTTTCCCTGATTGAAGTATTATTTATACACGCTGAAAAGGCTTCATGCAGCTGTGCAGTTAATCAGTTTTAACAATAATCGCCCACACCTCTGTCAGGACAGGACATTTGCATCCTTTACCACAGACAGCTCCTTGTACAGCTTCTTTGTCAGGTGTGAGCCTTGGTTGTTGTTATGGGTAGGAGCTTTGTAGCCTAAAAATAGTTTTGTATTTCCCCTAAATATTTTATGTGAATGATTTGTGAGAAAGATGCTTTTCTGTTTGTGTGCTGGCTTGGCTTTTGGTTGAATGGGGCAAACCACGCCCCCCCATCCCCCATTCCCCCGTCCCCCCCACCCCCCAGCCGGCTTGAAAGGAGTTTTGTCAGAGGACATGGGTGAAGTGATAGGAATCACACAGAGGTTCAGGAATTCCTGCTGGGACAGGCTGGAGCCTGGTGGTGGAGGGTGGCTCTCGGGAGCAGTTAGCTAGCTTCTCCACATGGGACCCTGCCTGCTCCCTCTGTCCCACCACCCACTACTTTACTTCCTCCCTCTTCCTCCCTTGGGGCCTGCTGAGCTGGCCACAGCCTTGGGGTCCAGTTGAACTCTGGCATTTCTTGTTGCAACTTCAGTTTTTGTGGAGCCGGTTCCTGTCACATTTCCTGCTTCACATTAGAGAGAGAGGGAGGGAGGGAGAGAGAGAGAGAGAGAGAGAGAGAGAGAGAGAGAGAGACAGACAGACAGACAGACAGACAGACAGACAGACTGGACCCATCCTCTTCTTGGGCTGAGGCTGCGGTGTCCAGGGGAGTCACCTGACCTTTCTTCAGTCAGGGAGGCGGCGTGGGGCAGTCCCTGTGTGGAGAGGCACCAGGATGGGGCTGGCAGGTTATGTTTGCCAAAACTTGGTGTTTTCAAAAGCTCTGTGTGGGCTGGTGAGGTGGCTGGCTGGGGAAGGCGCTTGCTGCCAAGCCCAGTGAGGCTGACCCACATGTTGGGAAGAGAGAACTGATGTGAGCAGTCTTCTGACCACCACACTTGCACTCTGGCACGCATTCTACCCCTCCCCTAGGAAATGTAAAAAGATGTTTGTTTGTGTGTTTGTTTGTTTTCAAAAATCCTGCATTGAGTCTGTGGTCAGAGGCAGAGGTTAGCGAGCCTCTTCCTACCCTGGATTTCCTAAAAAGGTGTATAGATTGCTTAGTGTTCAGACTTCCTGATTTCCTTTACTGTTTTCAAAATTAGGAAGTTTGCTTTGCAAATTTTATGCATGACTTTTGCATAAATTCAAATTCGAAGCCACCCCCAGTTTTTAAAAACAAGTCACTTGTAAACTACTTTTGTTTTTGGCAGTGGGTAACTTCCTCTTGGATTGTTAGTTTTTTTCTTAGGTCTGAAAATAGAATATATTTCCTTCCTTCTCCCAGAACTAGGATTGTCGTTGTCCAGTTTTGTACAGCATCTCTCGCCCTTTCCTGACTGTGGTTTTGAGGCATAAGAGCCTCAGCATTTACTTTGTTTTATTTATTTGTTGTTGTTATTGTTGTTGTTATTATTATTATTATTATTATTATTATTATTATTATTGGTTTTTCCCCCAGCAGGGTTTCTCCGTGTAACAGCTCTGGCTGTCTTGGAACTTACTGTGTTGATCAGGCTGGCCTCAAACTCAAAGATCCGCCTGCCTCTGCCTTCCAAGGGCTAGGATTAAAAGTGTGTGCCACCATGCCTGGCTATTTATTTATTTTTATTAAGGCAGACAGTAGTGTATTGTGTGTAACCCAGTGGTCCTGAGAGTCCCACCATGGCTCATCCGTGGAGGGGGAAGGGAGCGCTAAACAGGTGCATTGTCCTCTCAGAGGAGAAGGCGGGTGCGAAGGAACCACTCCAGTTACACCTTTGTTCTGTGAAGCCAGGGTTTGTGATTTCAGAGTGCAGAAAATCTTCAGGTGAACATTGCTGAGTACAGACAGGAATCACATATTTTAATTGCATTTCTGTTGAATTAATCAAAGTTCACTATTGGCTTGAGTGTCAGCAACTTTTTTTTTAAAAATCTTGTTAAGGTTTCATTAGCTCATTCGAATTAAAAAATGGCATTTAAGCAAACAGAACTGAAGTGACGGTTTTGAGCAAGCATTTGTGACATTCTGAGGTGGGTGAGGGGAGTTAGTGGGGGATGAGATGCTTAGCTCAATGTTCCTTTCATCTCCCGCGGTCCTACTAATGCACATTCCAACATACTTTGGCTCTGGGCCTCGGTGGTGTCCCCGGCTTCAGGTTTCAGCCAGACACATTTCCTGGTGTGGCTTATCCTTCTTGCTTCAGCTCCCTGGCCTGCACAAAGGGTTTATGGTCTCCTGGGAGTACCTGGTGCAGGCCACAGATCGGGGTCAGGACCAGGCAAAGGTTGACATGCTGGGGTGACAGTGTTTCATTTTGAAAATTCTAGGACAAAACGCAAGTTTTAAAGCTCAGCCAGCCAGGCGTAGCGGTGTGTGTGGTAGTGAGAATCTCACGTTCAGCCTGGCTGGGCCGCAGAGCGAGACCCTGACTCAGAAGTGAGACAGAGACTTTTAGGTACACCGCTCCCCTCCCCCCAGGGTTGGATGTGTGAGAGGGGAGCTCTGGAGCGGTCATGGCATGAGAGCGCTGGTGTTTTTTCTGTCAAGGACAACTGCCCCTTTGGACAGTTGAGATGTGTGATGGAAGGCTCTGGTGGCTTCTGCCCTCCCAACACTCACAGCTGTCCAGTCCTGCTCCTGCCCTGGCCTCCCTCCCCCTTTTTCCGCACTTCTGTTCCTCTGTCCCTGGTGGTACTGCTTGCCACAGAGCCCCCCCTGGATGCCGAAGTTCGACACCCTGAAGGTTGTGCCTGTGGACCCTGCAGTCTGTCCCCGCTGTCTCTCAGCCCCAGCCCAGCCTGAGCCCTTGTCCCTTAAGTAGTAGTGACCCGGTTACGTGTTCATTTTCCTCCTCTGTCTTTGAGTCCTTCAGGGCACCCTGTGGACCCCACCACCGTGGGTTTTGGAGGTGATTTCCTGCTACCTGCTGTTCCTCCAGGGCCCTGCCTGCCTGTGTCCGGCCCTTTAAGATCATTCTGTTCTGGCATGGTCTGTGAGCCTGGTGCCTCTGCCCCTCCGCGTCTTTTTATATTCCTTCGCCTCACATGTTTGCCTTTCCCATCTGTCTCTTCAGATCTTGTTCAGCGTGTCCTGCCCTGCTTCCTTGATGCCTCTCGAGGCATGCCTCATGCCCCCCCCCTTCCTTTTTCCCCCCTTCACTGCTGGGGGATGAACCCAGGGCCTCACGCATCCTGGGCACGTGCCCCACTGCTGCGTCTCACCCCACACTTCCGACTTGTTCTTAGTATTACATCAGCTGTAGGTACTTGGCTTATGATTGCATTGGCTTTTCGAAGTGCCAAGTGTTCCTCAGAGTGGGGGTGCCGCCCGTTGTTGCCCTTGGTCCGAAAGCACACAGGCATGTGGGGCCCGACCGAGCAGCAGATTCCCACTTGTTCACCTGAACCCTGAGGACGAGGCTCTGTGTGGATCTGGTGGGAACTCAGATCTAAACTGCAACTGTGACCTGTTCTCCCAGGCCTTTGTGTTTTCTCTGTGAGAGAGAAGCAGTGTGCTGGGTCCTTAGGTTGTCCAGGGCGTCACCAGAGAAGGCCCCTCTGTGATGATGAAGTGTGATGCTCCTTTTTCCTGTGAGGTGTGCAGAGCTGTTGGTACACACAGGGCCAGCAGTGGAGTGGTTGCTGCACAATTGAAGAATATGAAGTCTTCATTGCCAGTGTGGTTGCTGATTAAATAGCCCACCAAACACATACACTGTTTCTTCCCATTTCCCGTTTGCGTCTTACAGCCTCTCTCTAAAACAGCTGAAAGGAGGAGACAGAGATTTGCACAAGTCTAGATGCAAATTCCACCAGCCCCAACTAGTTTGTACCCTA